CCCGTGGCCTTTTCCCCCCCAGGGCGGCCTTCGGCTTATCGGGCTGCTCGGGTGGCCCCCTCGTCCGCGGGGCCGAGTTCGCCAGCCCGGGGCGCGGCGGTGGGGCTCCGAGATGGGCCCTGTCAGAGGCTTCTCGCTCCAGAGAGGACGGCGCAGCTGCAGCGCTAATCGACCTGTGGAAGGCGCGCTAGCTGGTGGATTTGGCCACCGTTCAGGATCGGAGCGCCCTGGCCAAATATCCACGGGGCCCATGGCCCCCAATCTCCACGCCTGCGAGCGCCGGCTCACGTTGGACGGCGGCGTGTCAGAGGCGCTTCTTCTCGACGCGGGCCTCGTCGCTGGCTGCTCGCGCGCGGGGCGGCCTCAGCAGCGCGGGCCCGTGGCGCCCGCGGACGAGGGCCGGGGCCCAGAGTGGCGCTCGCCATCATGTTTGACGATTGTTGCGTGGGCTGCCGCGGCCCCGCGGCGCAGGTCGCAGCACGCGCGGCGCAGGCGACTGCGGCGGCGGCGACGACAGCTCCAGGCCCAGGGCTAGTGCGATCCGCCCCCAGGAGGCGCCAGCCGCGGTGCGGGTCGCCAACGCAGGGTTGCGCCCGGCCATTCGATGCGGCCTCAGCGCGGTTGGCTGGCCCACCTCGCAGCTGTTCAAGTGGGGGAGGCAGGTCAGGGATGTCCACTGCGGTCGTGGATCGGGGAAGAGCCTCAGCCCCAGCTTCCTGGTCGACAAACGCTTCTCGAGCGACCCCCTTGTGGATCACGTCACCCTCCCGGGCAGATCAACGCAGACGGCCAAGACCTGCGGGCCACGGGCAGCGCGCTCGCGGGCGCCACAGCACTGCTCGCCGCCAGGGGGCCCGAGGCGCTGGCAGGACGAGGACCAATTGCAGCAGGCGCTCTCGCGTGCCACCGCTTGGGGCGGCATGATTTTCGATTCGGTCTGCTCACTAACGACCAGCGGCGGGTGCTGGACCTGCGCGTGCTCGGCGCTTCCACTCCGTCGAAGCACATCGCCGCAGCTCGCGAGAGGGCGTTTCGGAAGGAGGTGGGCAAGCACCCAGGCCTCCAGCACCTTGCAGGAGGAGGCGCGCTGGCCAGCATCCGGTGCACTCTGCACCGCAAGCGTATGAGCACGAAGCCGGCGGCGCAGCTCAGCTCGGGCATAGGGTTCTCGTCGGTTGCTTGTGGTCTGTGGCGCGTCGGCTTGAGATGGGTCGGCCGGTCGCATTGCCGCCCTGGCGCCCGCGGGGTCGCGTTGCCCGCGGCACTTGGCGCGGCGGTGTTCCGCGACAGCCGTCGGCCGCGCAGAGTGGTCCTCTTGCCGCGGCGGCGACGAGAGGCGCCTATCCGATGACATACGCCCCAGGACGATTGTCGACATGGCCAGTCATGTCTTCATTGAGGGCCCGCTCATGTTCCGCGCCGGCACCCGCGGCAGAGCGCGCGGCCGCGGGGGGCGGCGGGGCGGGCTTCGTCGGCATGCCCTTGGCGGGCGACCTCTTCACCGACGGCAGCGTCGAGGGCCCGAGCTTGTCGCCGCGCGAGGCGGCTGGGCAGTCGTGGCCATGGGGCGCGACGCCGTGGCCGTCAGCCTCTTTGGGCCCTTTCCTGTCTGCCCATTTCCTCAGGAGTCGGGGGCGGCGGGGCTGTGCGCGGCCATCGAGGCCGCCCGGGGCGGCCTGCCTCCCATCTGGCTGCCCACCGACTGCCAGATACTCGTCGACGGCAACGCTGCGGGCAAGGCGTGGTGCTCGGGGCGGCAGAGGCCCTGCAGGGAGCTCTGGGTCCGCGCGCGGCCGCCATCGCGGACGTGGGCATCGGCGACCTCTCGCTGCACGCGGCGAAGGCACGCGCGAGCCTGGCTGACGCGTAGGTGGATCACATCGCAGCTTGGCAGCGTCGAGACAACGATCGCGTTGGCGCTCGGGCCAGCGAAGGAGTGCGTGTCCACCTCGCAGAAGATGCGAGATCGCAGCAACCGCCAGGAAAGGCTCCATCATGGAAGTCATCCGCTGGATGGGGGCGGCTGCGCAGGAGGGCGACGCCGAGTTCGCGACAGCAGACGGTCATGGGGGGGCAGGCCTCGACGAGGTATGCTGCGACTGGCGAGCATGTAAGCTGCGCTGAAGGAGCCGCTGCAGGTTCCCCGACTGCCCTCGACGCACGCGCGGGCGACGCGGCGCCTGGCTGGACGCCGACGACGGTGACGCGGCATGGGCGCGCCTCGAGCGCGCGGGCCGCGGCGAGGCCATCTCGGGCTCCTACGCAGCAGGTGGCGAGCGGAGGTCGGGCGCAGGTTCGGCGGCGGCGGCGCTTCCCACTGTCGGCGCGGCGCTGGCATCCAGCCAGGCCGACGTCGCGCCCGCCCCCGCTGAAGTCGATGGCGGAAGGCCTGATGCGGCAGGCAATGCAGGCCCGAGCGGCAGCAGCAGCAGCGGCAGCGGAGGTCAGGCCGCGCTCCCTGCGCAGGCCCAGGCGCTGCAGCCGCCTCCGCAGGCGCCCAGGAGCTCCCCCCCCCCTTATGGTGGGGAGTGGATTGTTCTGCATCAAGAGCGGGCACTGGCCGCAAAGCGCCAGGATGGCGGGGCTTGCCAAGCAGCGCCTGGCGGCTCCCAAGATGACGAGGCAGGAGGCGGTCCTCGGGAGGATGAAGCGCGGCCTTCAGCCTGTAGGGGCGAGGCAGATCGGCGCGTGCGCCCAGGCAAGCAGGCATCCGTTGCTTACGCCGCTTTTATTTCCACTGCTTACAGTGTGACACTCGACCTCGTTGAAGGCATTCTTGAATGGAGGCAAGAAGCATGTGCGCAGGTTTGCCGCTGCATATGATCGGGCTCAAATGCCATGGACAATGCGACCGGCCTCCGATATGGGAGGGTGAGCCGTGGGCGTAGGTGGCTTGCCCTTTGTATTGGGCTCTCGCCGTGGCAGAGCAACGATGTCCAGTGTGTGGATGTGCCTTGTGGACTGTTCCTCTGGGTTGTCTTCCATATTCGTGCTTGCAGGACGTGACTCTGCATGCCGCCGCTGGCTGTTGGTGGGCTGCCGCCCTGGCCGCGGCATGCCTCTATTCCATCCATGTAGCTGCGGCGTGGGCGGAGCCGCCATGACTGTCCAGATGCCGTTCACAAGTTGCTTCGGCCAGGGCAGCGGACGGTTTCTAGGCACTCTGGCGAATCTGCGGGGGTGCCTCACGCACGATACCGTGCGTTGCCGCCTCTAGGCCACGGTGAAACGCCTCGGGGCGCGTGGATCAACATCATCAGCACCATCAGCACCATCATCACCATTATCAGCATCACAATCATCGTTACCACCACCATCACTATTACCATCATCACCAGCATCCTCATACATACCCATCACCAGCATCATCGTTGTTACCACTATCAGCATCCACATCATCATCAACAACATCAGCATACTCATCATCATCATTCGCATCACCACCATCATCGGCATCATTATCATCAGCATCAGCATGTTTATCTTCATCTTCGCCACTATCATCATCATCATCATCATCATCATCATCATCATCATCATCATCATCATCATCATCATCATCATCATCATCACCAACATCATCATCAACATCCGCATCAACATCATCATCGTTATCGCTAGCACCTCTCCCGGACCCCCGACCGCGTGAGTTGTTTCGCACAGTGTCCCAGACCTCTCCCAGGGGACGTTCTGACCTGGATTTCAATGCGAATCCAACTGCGATGACGAGGTTTTCCCGGAAGGCCAACACATGCGAAAGCGAGGGGATGGCAGCGGCACCGGCAACTTTTTCTCCTACCTTTTTGACCTCTCTCCCCCCCCGAGGGGGGCGGAAGAGAAGGCAGGCAGAAAGCAACGCGCCGGGGAGGCCGCCTGGGCGCCCTGCCCTGGGTGCGTGGGTTGCCTGGCGACACGCGGGCGTTCTGTTTCCGGGAGCTGCTGCCCGAGGACGTTCTCGTTGTCTGAGCCGTCGCCGCCGATAGCAGCAGCGACGATGACGGGGATGGGGTGGGGGCGACGAGGACAACAAGGGCGAGGAGAAGAGCGAAGGGAAGGGCAAGGAGGAGGGCGATGAGGAGGCGAGGAGGAGGAGGCGGAGGAGGAGGAGGAGGAAGAGGCGGAGGAGGAAGAGGAGGAGGAGGAGGAGGAGGAGGGCGACAACGAGGGTGAGGAGGACGAGGAGCAGTAGGAGGACGAGAAATACAAGAAAGAGAAGGAGAGGGAGGAGGAGGAGGAGGAGGAGGAGGAGGAGGAGGACAGGGAGAAGCAGAAGGAGGCAGAGGAGGAAGAGGAGGAATCTCCCCGCCGCTGCCTTTGTCGTCGCCGCCGTTGCCGTCGTCGCTGGCCTCGTCGTCGCACGTCGTCGGGGGATCAGGAGCACAGGACCAGGAGGGGGACGAGGAGGGGGAGGAGGACCAGGGGGTGGACGAAGACCAGGACACGGAGGAGGACGTTGACGAGGGGGTCGAGGACGTGGAAGATAACGATGACGAAGAGGAACAGGAGGCGGAGAAGGCGGCGGAGGCGGAGGAGGAGGAGGAAGGGGTCCTTTTCCTCCTCCTCGTCCACTCGTTGTCATTCTCGCCCTCGTCCTCCTCCTCGTCCTCATCGTAATCCTCTGCCTTATCAGGAGGACGTGCAGTAGCAGAGGACGAGGAAGGGAAAGAGAGAGCTACTCTCCCGAGGACAGTGAGCAGATGAAGGTGGTCGGCGGCTCGCGCGATTGGCCCATGCTCCGTCGATGGGGGCAGCCCAGCCACGGGGCCATAAGAGGGTTGGAAGGAAGAACGGGGTTGGAGGAGGAGGTGGGGGCATCCGTAGCCATTTTGGCTCAAGGCTATAAACGCATGGGAATCAGCGATTAGCTTTGGACCCTATATCCGCAGGTGGCTCGAGCCATCTTCTGGCCTCCAGGAGGCCACTGCGCAGGCAGCGCCCATCTGCCTGAGCACCGTCTGCTTTCTGCTCAGGTTCGCAGGAGTGTCCCTGTGACCGCAGCCATGGCCTCTGCTGGGACGCCGCCCGTGGCGAGTGGAGCAGGTGGCCGAGGCAAGAGAGCCTCTCGGCAAATTGGCAGGAGCAATTCTGACGAGGCACCGCCGAAGAAACACCCCGCCGTGGACGACGGCATCGAGCGCTTCGAGGTGGTCGGCGGCGGCGAGGACGTGAAGGATACTCGTCTTCCAGGGGGAAATCGAGTCGCTGGCTTCATTGGCAGCATGCTCGCGGACGAGGATATGTGCCCGACGCTGGAGGGCGCCTGCTCGCCAACCCCCCCAGCCAAACCAGCAGGTGGAGGAGGAGAGGCTTCTGGAAGCCGTGCTGGCACTGGCGGCTCCAGTCCTCCAAGGCTCACCCCTTTCACGTCACGTCGGCCTCTGAAGGGGACTGGCACGTCAGATCGTGCGACGTCAGCTGGAGGTGGGGCACTCCTTGGCCATCGTCGTGCAGCACCTGGACATGATGAGGATCCTGGAGAGCAGCAGCAGGTCAAGCAGCACATCGATCGCACGCGCTCGGGCGTCATGGACAGCCTCAAGGTCATGCAAGCTCGCCTGTCGGCGCTCAGTGGCACGACGGCGGGGCACTGCAAGTCGATCGACAAGGCGGTGGAGAAGCGGATGTGCAGGGTGGAGCACAAGGTGGAGATTCACGATACGCGTACCGGCAAGCTGGATCAAGAGGTGCAGGACCTGCGGGATCTGTTGGGCCTCACGCGCAAGGAAGAGCCGACGCCGCGGCCAGCGGGTGGCGGCAGTGGGTTCGACAGGGAGATCGATCACACGGTCATCACGGTGCGGACAAAGGAGGCCTTGCCCAAGGCCGCGGTCGCTGACGCGGTCGCCCCGTGGCTGCAGGACAGCAGCCTGGTGGACGGCGACTACGAGGTCTCTGAGGAGCCCGTGGACAAGCGCTACCAGATCTTGGTCACGGGCCAGAGGTCGCACGCGGCGCGGAGGGTCAACCAGGCCATCGGCGCGCTCAAGCTTCCAGTGCGCGGCGCTGGCTGGAGGAGGATCACGGCCCCGTCGCCCATGGGAGGGGTTCCAGTGGAGCTTTCGATCAGCCCTGACAAGAGCCCGGAGCAGGTGGCGGGGGAGCTCGGCTGCAAGGAGATTGTTCGAGCTCTCTCGGTCGAGTACCCAGCGAAGAAGTACTTCGTGGATCAGGGGAAGGGGGGGGCCAGCTCGTTGTGGAAGGACCTCATCTCCTACGAGCCCGCGCCTGGCTCTCAGGCGCCCACGATCCACTGCAGCCAGAAGAACATGGAGCTCATCGGCATGCACTACCAGAAGGTTCGCGACGTGGTGGGCAACCTCTTCTCCGAGTCGGAGGCTACGGAGTGGTGTCTTTAGCAGACTTATGGCAGCATGGCAAGGGCCATCGTTTGCCAGATCGAGTCTTACCTTCACTTCTTGGAACTGCAGGGCGTTGCTACATCATGACCTCAGCCTCCGTAGTCAGAAGATCGCCGACCTCCGACCCCCCCCCCCCCCATCGCCCACCACTGTTCTGGGACTCCAGGAAGTACACGGGGCCCTCGAGGAGGCTGAGGATATGCTGTGCCAGATCCACAAGAATTTCCACATGTTTCACTCTTTTGCCCCGTGGAGCTGTGCCGAGTGCGAGGCGCCGAATGAGGGGGCGCGCGGGACGTGCTGCACTTGCTCGTGGCCGCGCCCATCGCAGAGCACGAATTTAGGCGGCTTGCTCACATTATGTTCTGTTCGGGTTGCTCAAACCCAGCCAGCTGGTGAGGTCAAAGTGGCTCATGCAGCATGCGTTCGGGGAGCTCGGGAAGATTTCGTCGTTCGGGAACTGGTTCCAGGCCGTTTGTTGAACGTCACTGCGGTCTTAGATGAGTCTGGGGATTGTTGGATATCGCATTACAGCGCTCACAATTTCGGGTTATCCAGGGCTGAAAACGGAAGGTCGCCCAGGCGATCGAACATGATCTCAGTCTAGCACGCCTCGCACTTGAGAGAGTTTTGGTGGTCGCGGCGGGCGATGTCAAGATCAGTGCAGCGCCGCCGATCCCTGCTGTGCCAGACGGGGAGTTTAGGCCCAATTTCGGCTGTCACGAGCGGCGAGCTCGTCGGGGCCCGATTTGGCAGGAGTTGTTTTCGAAGATGGTCGAGGTTGAGCAGCCCGACCCGACGCACTACAGTTTAGCTAACGACTCTACCAACATCATAGATAGGATCTTCGCGTCTCCTCCAAGGTGGGGCCTCATTCAGATGAATGCCCTGGGGATCACCAAGGACCTCGTCGAACTTCTACACCATCGGGACCTCTCGGGCCACGCGCCCGTCTCGGTTGATCTCAGGGGCGCCCCGAGGGCCCCCGAGAAGGAGCGCACCATCCCGAAGGGGCTCTTTGCCGCCAAGTATTTCCAGGATCACATGGAGGCTTATCTGGGAGCGGTGTCTTTGGAAGGTCTATCCCCGCCGCTGAAGATAGACTCTTGCAGTTATATTATGAAGGAAGGAGCTAGACTCGCTCGGGGCGCTCTTCTGCATCGCGAACCCACTTCGAGGCTCGATCAGAACATCTTGTACCGGAGCATCGCCCGGGTAGTCTGGAGGCAACGCGCGAAGCTAGGCTCCATCCTTCTGCAGGCACACCCGAGTGCTCGTATGAGCATTGGCCTTGACGTGTGCAGCGGACGTCTCTTGCTATTGGATCCTGATAGGTTTGCAGCGGACTTGGATCAACTGCAGTTGGCGGACCTAGAGGCGCAGCAAGCAGCCATCACAGCAGCCAACAACGATGAGATACCCGAGAGACTCCGTCGCAAGCGTCGTCAGCAGCTTCGTCGTCTTCAATAGCGAGCTGCGATGTGGACCCCGTTCGACCGCCGACTGCACTTGAAAGGTATCCGATTAAGGGGGCGAGGTGGCCACTACGCCAGCGGCCATGTCTTCTGCGATATGCGGCTACTGGGGCGAAGTTTTTCCCGGAAAGGGCTCAGGCCCAGGGTTCTCTTTTAGTTGGTAAACCTGTCCCCCGGTGCCAACTTGAAGGAGGCCGGCGGATTTTTTCCCTGATAAATATCGAGGTCGAAGGAGGCCGGCAGATTAAAATTTGAGGATGTCTCGAGCGAAACGCTTGTTTTTCAGAATTTGTTGAGGATGTCTCGAGCGAAACGCTGGTTTTGCAGAGTTGGGGATGTCTCGAGCGAAACGCTTGTTTCAGAATTTGTGAGGATGTCTCGAGCGAAACGCTGGTTTTGCAGAGCCGACCGCGACGCGGAAAAGCGCTCCGCGCGAAGGAATTTCGATGATGTCTCGAATAATTCGTTTGTTTTTGTACGATTTCCTTGAATTTTGGCAGGATGTCTCGAGCGAAATGCACGACCCCACCCTAGCACGACCATACCCCAGCACGACCACACCCCAGCACGACCAGACCCCAGCACGACCCCACCCCAGCACGACCCCACCCCAGCACGACCATACCCCAGCACGACCACACCCCAGCACGACCCGACCCCAGCACGACCCTACCCCAGCAAGACACACCCCAGCACGACCACACCCCAACACGACCTCACCACAGCACGACCACACCCCAGCACGACCACGCCCCAGCACGACCACGCCCCAGCACGAACACGCCTCAGCACGACCACCCCCCAGCACGACCACCCCCCCAGCACGACCACTCCCCAGCACGACCACCCCCCAGCACGACCACACCCCAGCACGACCACTCCCCAGCACGACCACACCCCAGCACGACCACACCCCAGCACGACCACACCCAGTCGCACCCCCGTGGAATGTTTCGTGGCGTGTCTGGTTGAGTGGTTGCCTGTTCGTGGGGTGTCTCGTGGAATGTTTCACGGGGTGTCTCGTGGAATGTTTCGTGAGGTGTCTCGTGGAATGTTTCGTGAGGTGTCTCGTGGGATGTTTCGCGGGGTGTCTCGTGGGATGTTTCGTGAGATGTCGCCCAGTTGGGTATCGTGAAAACGTGACCATGCTGCACATGTCTTTATCCCTTTCCGGGTTCGTGGGTCCATCATGTTGGGCTCAAAGAGGTGCTCCAAGGTCCTGCTGATCAGTGCTTAAGGCGCTTCGGAGGCGACTTTGATTTCTCGGATATCCCGCCCCCGACCGGAGCGGGCATTCGTCAGAAAGTACGGACCTTGGAGGACTGCGCCCCAGGACCTGGTCGTTTACCTTGCGCTGCCTGGCGCTGCGCCCCTCAGGCAGCGGAGCTGCTTGACGAGTACTTGCGGTGGATCGTGGATGGGAAGTCGCCTCGCCCCTGCTTCAACGATCTCTTCGGGGTCTTCATACGGGAAGGGGGAGCAGGAGGGAGATGAAGGAGGAGCTCTTCGCGACTTCGCGCCCCCTGGGCTTGAATTATTCGGAGAATAAGATCCCCGCCGGCCTCGTCGTGAGGCCGTTCTCGATCAAGATGGCTGAGGTCAGTTGTAAACTGCAGCGGGGCTTCGCGATCGGTCGGCAGCCCGGTGCAAACATAATCGGGATCGACGCGTACGCTAGGCTCGCCTCGATGTCGGACGCAGCCGAGATCGACCTTCCAGCCGTCGTCTCGCACGACTTCGCCCGGGCGTTTCCGTCCGTGGCGCACTCCTTGATGAAGAAGGTGTTAGCGAAGATGAACCTCCCTGGGCCTCTCCTCTGGTTCTTCCTGGTCCTCTACGAAAGCGTTCGCTGTCTTGGGGAGCTGGGAGGTGCCACGGTTTGGCTTTTCTTGATATGGTCAGGCATTATTCGGGGGTGCCCCGCCAGCGGCGCCTTATTCGCTGCAAGTTTGAACCCGTTCCTGCTCGACTCCGAGAGCACCTTCGTGAGGGGGCGCAGCGGGGCGATCCTCGCGCGCGCCGATGGCCTGGGCGGGGTGATTTTGAAGCTCAGGTTTATCACGGTGCTCTTTCGGATCTTTCAGCGGGCCCAACATCTCGCTGTTTTAGTACCCAAGACGTGCAAGTGTTTCATCGCCCCGCTCAGTGGACCCTTCAGCGAGGAGCTCGCAGAGATTTATCGGCAGGCCATAGCTCAGCTGGTGCCGTCTTGGGCGAACTTCGTAGATGTTCCGAACCTGAAGTACTTAGGCATGTGGGTGGGGCCGAACACGTTCGCCAAGTCTTGGGCGGGCCCCTTGGGCAAGTGGAGATCCAGAGGACACTTACTGGCTGGCGCCAACACCCCGCCGGCGGTAGCTGCGATGCTATATTCCTCTCGAAGTGCGACAATCCCCTCGCATATTGCCCAGGTCCTGCCACCGCCCCAGTCTCTGCTAGGACAAGAAGCAGCGCGGTTGGCTAAGATCTTTCACTTCCTGCGTTGAGCCTTGAGCAGTCTGGGGCGGTTTGGGATGGGGAAGTGGGGCGCGGTGGCGGGGCGGGGCGGGGCGGGGAGGCGTGGGGGCTGGGTGTGTGTGTGTGTGTGTGGGGGGGGGGCGAAGATACCGCGTGTGACGCTCGGTGCTTATGCTGCCAATGGCAGCGCTGCGCTCGCTACGCTTGCGGAGACGTGGCCGCCGATGGCCAGGCGGCTGAGGGGGCAGACGGTGCGCCTCCTGCCGCTGACACAGGTTCTGCGAGGTGAATGGTCGCCGTCGTGGCGGGGGGAGCCAGCCCTTTGTCAACGTCTTCAGATAGCTGCCGCTGGTTTCCCCGACGACCCCAAGCTTCGTCATTTAAGCATTGGCTATGCTGAAGTCCGGGAGCTGATGTCTGGGGCCGCCACTAGGGCCCGTGCGGGCCGCCGTCCTGGTAGAGTTCGGATTCAACGTTCCCTGCAGGCCTCGTCCACGGCCACGCTTTTCCCCTCGGAAACTTTGACAAACACAAGCCTTATTCACTCGGCGTTTGCTGTCCTGGTTCCCTGGGAGCGCGGGCAAAATCGCTCAGATAGGTTGGAGTAGGGTAAGCAGTGTAATGTCTAAGCTTAAGCCCGCGCTGGCTTTCGCTATATTTCGTGCCCTCAGCAAAGCCTGGCTCACCCAGCGTCGCTTTCAGCATCTGTCGTCGTCGTGCTGTCTCGGCTGCGACGCCCTGGACTGTATGCGGCGCTACTTTGCGCGCCCGAGGCTTAAGGCTCTGATGATCGAGGTCGGGGGGCCTGGGGCAGTGGAGGAGGGGGGGGCGATCTTGATCTTCTCGGGCTGCTCGAGGCCTCGCCTGCTCGAGGTAGAGGAGAAGGAGGAGGGGGGGAGGGGGATAAGTGGCAGAGGTGGAGGATGAGGACGAGAAGGATGGAGAGGAGGCGGAGGCGGAGGAATGACGACGAAGGCTGATGGGGATGAAGAGGCGGAAGGGTGAGGTGGAGGAAGAGGGAGGGGATGGGGACAAGGAAGGATGACGAGGTTTGATGAGCATGCGGAGTGTGAGGCATCATGACGAGAAGGTTCAGGCGGAGGTGGGGATGTTATGATGAGTGTTTCGGGGCCTCGGCCTCCGTTCGGACCTCTCCAGGAGTGGGTGGCCGGGATATCTGAGGCGGATTGGGCCTTCGCGGCGACCCCAGAGGAGACCACACACACACGCGAAAATGTTTAAATACATCTTTCCGTGCCTTGTCCGGCCTTCTCTACCTTGTCCTTTTATGACTGCCTCGACCAGCGCCGCCGCCCTCTCCTCATACCCCTAGATCCAACGTCGCGAGAAATGCCATTTTGTAGAACATCACGGCCAGAACCCTGGACACCATCTCTCTGCGGCATCTTTCCAGCACGATCGACCCGCGAGGACCCCTCTGGGATCCGAAGTTGGGCGAAATTGCTGGTTGTCAGGAAATTGTGACGCCAGGATACACGAGCTTCGGCTTGGCGTGTCGCTCCGCCAGTTATGGCCCACCACGCTTCGGCGCGACACGCTATCCATGGTCCAGCCCCCATCCCAAGAGCCCACATCGCGAGCCATTCGAGGCCTTCCAGCCCACCGAGCGACGTGACACGCTGTCCTCGCATGACATATACCGTGTCGCCTGGGCCGCCGCCACGACAAGGTAAGCAAAATGTACCAAGTGTATGTAAATCCCATGTTGTCTGGGCGTCGCGTAATAGGGGGTGATAAAGAAAGGGGGATGCAGCAAGGGCAGCAGGAAAACGGTTCATTTAGAACCCTTAAAGAGGTTTTCTATGGCACCAAATGGGTTTTTCCCGGAAAGGGCTTGAGCCCAGGGTTCTCTTTTAGATGGTTTCCCCCCGGGTTTGACGGGAAGAGGGCCGGCGAATTTCTTTTGCGATAAATAACGAGTGGGAAGAGGGCCGGCGAATTAAAAATTGAGGATGTCCCTAGCGAAACGCTTGTTTTTCAGATTTTGTTGAGGATGTCTCGAGCGAAACGCTGGTTTTGCAGAGTTGGGGATGTCTCGAGCGAAACGCTTGTTTTCAGAATTTGTTGAGGATGTCTCGAGCGAAACGCTGGTTTTGCAGAGCCGACCGCGACGCGGAAAAGCGCCCCTCGCGCAGGAATTCCGATGATGTTTCGCGCGTGCCGTGTCCCGCGCGCATGAATTTCGAGGATGTCTCGACTAATTCGTTTGTTTTGCTAGGATTTCCTTGAATTTTTCCCGGAAAGGACTTGAGCCCAGGGTTCTCTTTTAGATGGTTTCCCCCCGGGTTTGACGGGAAGAGGGCCGGCGAATTTCTTTTGCGATAAATAACGAGTGGGAAGAGGGCCGGCGAATTAAAATTTGAGGATGTCTCGAGCGAAACGCTTGTTCCCGGAAAGGGCTCGGGCCCAGGGTTCTCTTTTAGTGGGTAAACCTGTCCCCCGGTGCCAACTTGAAGGAGGCCGGCGAATTTTTTCCCTGATAGATATCGAGGTCGAAGGAGGCCGGCGAATTAAAATTTGAGGATGTCTCGAGCGAAACGCTTGTTTTTGAAATCCCGATCGATAAATCACAGGGTGCGGGCCACTTTTTCGTGTGTTGAGGATGTCTCGAGCGAAACGCTTGCTCCGCAGAGTTTGCCGAGGATGTCTCGAGCGAAACGCTTGTTTTGCAGAGCCGACCGCGACGCGGAAAAGCGCCCCGCGCGAAGGAATTTCGATGATGTTTCGACTAATTTGTTTGTTTTTGTACGATTTCCTGGAATTTTGGCAGGATGTCTCGAGCGAAATGCACGACCCCACCCTAGCACGACCATACCCCAGCACGACCACACCCCAGCACGACCAGACCCCAGCACGACCCCACCCCAGCACGACCCCACCCCAGCACGACCATACCCCAGCACGACCACACCCCAGCACGACCCGACCCCAGCACGACCCTACCCCAGCAAGACCACACCCCAGCACGACCACACCCCAGCACGACCTCACCACAGCACGACCACGCCCCAGCACGACCACGCCCCAGCACGACCACCCCCAGCACGACCACGACCACACCCCAGCACGACACACCCCCCAGCACGACCACCACCCCAGCACGACCACGCCCCAGCACGACCACGCCCCAGCACGACACACCCCAGCACGACCACACCCCAGCACGACCACACCCAGTCGCACCCCCGTGGAATGTTTCGTGGCGTGTCTGGTTGAGTGGTTGCCTGTTCGTGGGGTGTCTCGTGGAATGTTTCAAAGGTGTCTCGTGGAATGTTTCGTGAGGTGTCTCGTGGGATGTTTCGCGGGGTGGCACGACCACGCCCCAGCACGACCACACAGCACGACCACCCCCCCAGCACGACACACCACACCCCAGCACGACCACACCCCAGCACGACCACACCCCAGCACGACCACACCCCAGCACGACCACACCCAGTCGCACCCCCAATGTTTCGCCTCTGGTTGAGTGGTTGCCTGTTCGTGGGGTGTCTCGTGGAATGTTTCACGGGGTGTCTCGTGGAATGTTTCGTGAGGTGTCTCGTGGAATGTTTCGTGAGGTGTCTCGTGGGATGTTTCGCGGGGTGTCTCGTGGGATGTTTCGTGAGATGTCGCCCAGTTGGGTATCGTGAAAACGTGACCATGCTGCACATGTCTTTATCCCTTTCCGGGTTCGTGGGTCCATCATGTTCCCGGAAAGGGCATCGGCCCAGGGTTCTCTTTTAGTAGGTAAACCTGTCCCCCGGTGCCAACTTGAGGGAGGCCGGCGAATTTTTTCCCTGATAAATAACGAGGTCGAAGGAGGCCGGCGAATTAAAATTTGAGGATGTCTCGAGCGAAACGCTTGTTTTTCAGAATTTCTTGAGGATGTCTCGAGCGAAACGCTGGTTTTGCAGAGTTGAGGATGTCTCGAGCGAAACGCTTGCTCCGCAGAGTTTGCCGAGGATGTCTCGAGCGAAACGCTTGTTTTGCAGAGCCGACCGCGACGCGGAAAAGCGCCCCGCGCGAAGGAATTTCGATGATGTCTCGACTAATTCGTTTGTTTTTGTACGATTTCCTGGAATTTTGGCAGGATGTCTCGAGCGAAATGCACGACCCCACCCTAGCACGACCATACCCCAGCACGACCACACCCCAGCACGACCAGACCCCAGCACGACCCCACCCCAGCACGACCCCACCCCAGCACGACCATACCCCAGCACGACCACACCCCAGCACGACCCGACCCCAGCACGACCCTACCCCAGCAAGACCACACCCCAGCACGACCACACCCCAGCACGACCTCACCACAGCACGACCACACCCCAGCACGACCACGCCCCAGCACGACCACGCCCCAGCACGACCACGCCCCAGCACGACCACCCCCCAGCACGACCACCCCCCCAGCACGACCACACCCCAGCACGACCACTCCCCAGCACGACCACACCCCAGCACGACCACACCCCAGCACGACCACACCCCAGCACGACCACATCCCAGCACGACCACACCCCAGCACGACCCGATCGATAAATCACAGGGTGCGGAGCACCCCAGCACGAACCCACCCCAGCACGACCCCACCCCAGCACGACCCCACCCCAGCACGACCACGCCCCAGCATGACCACACCCCAGCACGACCACACCCCAGCACGACCACTCCCCAGCACGACCCCACCCCAGCACGACCCCACCCTAGCACGACCACACCCCAGCACGACCACACCCCAGCACGACCCACCCCAGCACGATCACACCCCAGCACGACCCCACCCCAGCAAGACCACACCCCAGCACGACCGCACCCCAGCACGACCATACCACAGCACGACCACACCCCAGCACGACCACGCCCCAGCACGACCACGCCCCAGCACGACCACGCCCCAGCACAACCACCCCCCAGCACGACCACCCCCCCAGCACGACCACCCCCCAGCACGACCACCCCCCAGCACGACCACCCCCCAGCACGACCACTCCCCAGCACGACCACACCGCCTTGGTTGAGTGGTTG